GTTAATCTTATTTGCTGACATAGCCGACCACTGTAACGTGCTGCTTTAGCAAGCTTCTGTAAAAAAGTTTCAGCTTTTACTTTCCTTTTACGCCCCGAAGAAGATATCACAGGTTCATCAAGTTTGTTGAAATTATTATCCAGCTTTGACGAAACTGCTCACAACTAGCGTGTTTTTTCCAAGTCAAGTCACCTTTATTTATATAGCGCCTTTAATATAGATTGTTTCAAAGCCGTTTTACAGTGATAGGAAATTAATGTAACAGAGATAGTTTTGGCTTTACAGCAGCTCTAGAATAAAGTTATTGTCCAGCTAAAGTTAGCTTTGATTGATTCACTTCCGTCGCAACGATCATTAGTTATTAACTTAGGGGCGCTAACACGACACCGCTCTAACAGAAAACCCTCAATGTGATCCAGCCGCTCATTTGCACAAAACAGAGCCTGGTGGCTCGAGAATGCAAACCATGAAATAGGTTCCAAGGTACAAGCCTTGAAAAATGTATAATACAGAATTTTTTATTGCTTCTGCGTAGCCACGTGAACCGGAACTATCCCGGCAAAGTTTTATCTGTACAGAGGTAAAGGTAAGGGAAGGAGGCCTTCACAGAGGAGGGACTTCAATGTCGTCATGTCCAGGCACAGGTCCTTCGTCAGATCCGGATACAGTCTGGATGTGGCGGACTGCAGTAAACCTCAGGATAAACAGAGAGACTAATATTAGCATAGATGCCATCCTTCTTATGATGTAAGTACATCAGGATTTACAGGAAGTGTTCCCGGTTCCGGCTGACCTAATCTATGCAGCTTATTATTATTGAATTATAGAAGTCTAAAATGTGTTATGTGTATGCTAGGTCTATATTTGAATTGACGGAGTGTGTCTGCTTCTCGGACAATGTTAGGAAGACTGCTCCCAGTGTATCCATTATAAAGCTCATAATCACAGGACACAAGGCTGCTAACCACCTACAGATAGATGTCAAACCAATCACACTCAAGATAATGACTCAATAGTTTTCCTCCAGCTAAAAGATCTTCAAGCTCATGTTTCATACATTTTCCTTTTAAAACAGCTTTCATTTCTGAACAGACCACCAAAAAGGAATACATGAGGCATTGTACTACACGCACGCTTACAAATGGGATTTTCTAATGACTTTCTTGAAGCTGAGAATGAATCATGCAATTTCAAAAAAGACAATAAAGTATATTTTTAAAAAAAGTACATACACACATTTTAGAGTACATTTTCTACCATGTTATTTGAAATTAAAAAGCCAATATCATATGAGTTAATACATTTCAAATGTACTAAAATTAGAACTTCATCATTACAAATGTGTACTTACAAATATATGTAAATACATGACATAAAGTTTACCGTAACATGACAAAAGCACTACCATATTTCAAAGCTAGAAGTAGGCCTAATTATAAAAAATTACATGTAAAGGTGTACTTAAGTCCTAATTAGGAAGGTCAAAAAGGAACTTATATTATTATATACAGGATTACTTAGTATATTATTTTGAAGGAGATTATGTCGTAAGGTAAGAAAAAAATTAAACTTAAGTATTTTTTAGCTGAAAATAGAAAAGAATGAGGAAGAAGTTTTTTTTCTGAGTGAGTGTCAAACACAATATCATCCAGCATACTTCCAGGGCTATAACTGCCAGAAACGCTCATGGACATATATTAGACTGAAACCACATGACTTGGTAGTTTTACAGGTTGTTAAGCTGCCTTCAAGTCATGAAGGAATTATCATATTTACGATAATATCATAATTACCAGCGAAAAACTCTTTAAGTTGTGACTTAAGGGCGTCAAATAAAAAAATCATTGCGCAAGAACATTTATATATCTCATTAGTATTCAGAGGTTAGTACAAGGTAGGCTCAATAAACAGAATTTTGTTTAATGTTGATTATCACATTCAGTTTCAACAGCCATAAGACATAAACAATACTCAGTTCTAAGTAAACGTGTGAAGTTTTCAAATTTAACTAATTTTTTTTTGCCATGACAATGCAATGCCTAAAACACTAAAATCACTGAATTTAATTCATTTACAGTTTTTACTGCTAAAATAATGTAAGTGCTTTTATAAGCTTCAAATGTTTGCTCTTTTTCCATCTGTTGATTGTGTTAACTTGAATTGAACCCAGAATATTATTTTAATCATTAAAATGCTGACAGAGTATTTTAATATGCATCTAGGTTGTAAAAAGAAGTAATTTGGTTGTATTTTGTTTAAAGGAGTAGTTCACTTTTCAAAAAACTTTTGCTGATAATTTACTCACCCCCATGTCATCCAAGATATCCATGTCTTTCTTTCTTCAGTCGAAAAAGAAATTAAGGTTTTTGATGAAAACATTCCAGGATTTTAATCCATAAAATGCACTTCAGTGGGAACCAAATGGTTCAAGGTCCAAATGAGAGTTTTAGAGCAACTTCAAAAGGCTTTAAATGATTCCAGACGATGAATAAGGGTCTTATCAAGCGAAAAGATCGCTCATTTAATAAATAAATAACAAAGTTTAAGTTTTATAAGCTAAAATAGTCGCCTTGCTCTCTTCTGTGACGCACGTTTGTGACTTTCGTGTTCGAACTCGTTCATCAAAATGAACGAATCTTTTTCCGAGTCATTTGGTTCATTCAACAAACGAAACAAACCAAATGACTCGGAAAAAGATTTGTTCATTTTGATGAACGAGTTCGAACAGGAGAGTCACGAACGTGCATTGCATACTGAGCAAGGCGCCCATTTGAGCTTAGAAAACTTTTTTTTTTTAAATGAGCGATCTTTCTTTCAGTGTAGAAAATCACCAGTATAGTACTAGGCATGCAACTAAGGGTAATTTTACTTTACCCATAGTAAGAACAAATGCCATAAAAAATACTGTTGTGTTTAGAGGTATGAAAGAATGGAATTATTTGCCAAAACATATCCTGCTTACTAATGATGCCAATAAATTCAAATTATATGTAAAACAACATTTGTCAAAATATTATAACTGAATGTTTATATTTATTTAGATATGTGTACGATTATGTATGCGTGTAGGTATGTTTATAGGTGTAAGTGTATAATATGGTTTTATATTTGTGTGTATTTTTATACCTGTATGGGGGTACATATGTATGTCGATATGTGTTCATATTGTATATGTATTTGTATTATGTGTTTGTGTATTTTCTTTTAATGTACATACTTTTTTAGGACCCCAGGAAGAATAGCTGCAGCATTGCTGTAGCTAATGGGGATCCTTTCAATAAAACAAACAAAACAAACAAACAAACATTTCGCTTGATAATACCCTTATTCATCGTCTGGAATCTTTAAAGCCCTTTCAACAGTTTGTAGTTTGCACTGAAACTGTCTTTTGGACCTTGAAACGTTTGGTTCCCAGTAAAGTCCATTATATGGAGAAAAATCCTGGAATGTTTTCATCAAAAACCTTAATTTCTTTTCGACTGAAGAAAGAAAGACATGGACATCTTGGGTGACATGGGGGTGAGTAAATTATCAGCAAAAGTTTTTTTGAAAAGTGAACTACTCCTTTAAATCCTGAACATCTCTTCTTCATTCCTTAGCTTGTCCTTATACATTTCTCTGTCTTTCCACCCGCTGTTACAGGTAGGATGCACCCAGTCATACATTCAAAAAAAGTTATTCAGATAGAAAAATAAAATTAAGTAAAATGACGTCCAGCAAATCTTACTCTCATCCACACTGGCATCTTTCCTTTTGTAATTGCTTGAACAAGATCACCAGTCAGACACCAGACATGACATACAGTACATCTCACAAGATACAAAAGTCGCACATATTCAAGAGTCTCATGTGTCTGACATCCGCTCACATTACAGAAAAACTGAGCACAATGATTTTGCACACCCTCCTCTAATATTATTAACATGGTACAAAAATCGCCACGCCAAAACAAGGCCAACAGGCTACAGTCTTCCCTTACTGTACTCCACTATCCTTTATATCTCTGTCCTCTCTGTGGCTGAATCCCACTGGAGCACTGCAATGGTGTCGGGTTTAGTGACGGTATCGGTTATCAGGGATGGAGCGACATCAAAGCCGTGCTGTTAAAAGACAGAGATGAAATCAAGAGGGGAAAAGAAGAACCTGCCTCCATCCACTCCAATTCTCAAACACAGAGTGCTGTATGGCATCATGGAAGAGAGACTGGAGATGATGAGCTTTCGTATTTAATTTAATATGCTATTTTGGAAAGTTTACATTAACTTTCCAAAGTAAAGGCAAAGTTTTGTGAGAAACTTCTTGTTCAATGGCTGCGTTTTAAATTGACCCATGTCAAAGGTCAAAACATTTCACCGTCAAGTCTCCATAATATTCTAGTCTTATTTGTAAGTCTATGGAATGTTTTTTTAAACACATTTTATCATTCTTTGTGTGAATATTATTAGTATAATCACTTAAAACCATAGACTGTAAAAAAAAAAGGACTACGTGCCTCTGTAAGGATGATAAAATTGATGTAATACTGATAAATTGAATGGGTTGATGCAAGTTAAAAGATACGTAATATTGTTCATAAAAAGTTAAAAATCTTTATTTTATATCTTAAGGTTAAAAAGTTAAAATGCTTAAGTCATTGGATTGCTGCACTGTGTGGTTAAGAAATATTTAATTTTAAGAAACATTAATTACTTTATAAAACAGGAGAGAGAAAATACATAGCTATATGATCGGTAGATCAGTGATCCATTGCTTTGTGAGTAAAGGGGGCTAAAGAGCTTAATAGGATAAAAAGACAATATGTGTTTAAAATGCTGTCTTATTTAACTTCCATAACATTTTTGGGTAATGCTGTGTTTGCTTGTTTATATAAGTTTCATTTTCTTTTCTTTTACTGTAAATTTAAGTTCCTGTTTGTGATCGGAGGATCTGTTTACGATTGTTAATGCCTTGTTCAGCCTATGTACGGAACCTGTACGGAACGTGCTTACGTTCGTCCGTTACAACATTTGACGTGACCGAAGACACATCGTGTCCTTGTCATGTTTTTCTATTTCCCTTTTAACAGGTAAGAAAGTGGGCTGTAATATGTTTAAACGATTATATATGTGTTTAATACCATAAGGAACGTCCAGGGAGTAAGTTTAGTGATTATAGTAATTATATATATGCACATTTAGCAGGCTAACCGTGAAGTGTTGCTCCAGTGTTGCCTGTATGCTAGCTATGTCACGTGGGCTGAGATTAATGCTGCGTTCCAGGCAGGTTTTTGAACACGTAAATCACGACTTCAAACCACGACTTACGACTTTGTAGCATTCCAGGTCATTCACGTCAAACTACCTAGATGTAAACAAACCAGCATGGCGGACCTTACGGGCTCACGCGCATTTGTAATAATTTCTAACGCTTACTCCTTGTTTATTTGTGGAAAAATGAGGAGGAAAAATAGCGCATGAGGCAAGATAAGCTGTTATACCTTTTATTTTACTTTGTTTGTATATTTGGAAATGTATTTGGTATTAATTTATCCTTGCACTCAATGGACTGAAAACTAGTTAACGTTATATTGTCCTAAAGTGTATCTCACCCAGTACCGCCTGCAGAAACACTGCATCAGTAGGGGCTGTCATGTAGTTTTTTTTTTTAAAATAGGATTTATCATGCAGCCCTTTTTTTTTTTTTTTTTCTTTTTTGCGAGTCAAACCATATTTTTTTTTAATGCTGAGAACAGGATACAGAATAAAACACAATACAAAGGAGAAAGCATACATCACATAATATCAATCAAAACAATAAAGGACAATAACAAAAATAAATAAAATAAAATAATAAAAAAAGAGTAGGGCAATAAAATCACTAAAAGGTTTCACATGAAGAGATTAAAGGCAGTGCAGATTCTAATAGTCCTTATGGCTTTCATATTAGTAGATGTTGAAATCACACTTAAATAATTTTCTATCTCTTTTAAGAAGACAGAGAAAAAAAGGTTTACAGTTTGAAAATTTGCATTTGTGAATGTAAAATTTGCTTAAGAAAAGAATTAAATTAATAACAAAACAGATATTTGCATGTTTGGGTTCTGAGTCAAAATATCCAAATAAAATGTTTCTCATCTGTATTGAAAAGCCTGGCCAAATCTTACACTTGATAAATATATCAATATCCTTCCAAAACTTCTGAGTGTAGTGACATGACCAAAATAAGTGAACCACTGTTTCATCAGACTTCAAACAAAAAGAGCATGTTAGCTTGATGTCTGATTTAAATCTTTGTATAAATGTCTTAACAGGGTAGAACCTGTGTATGAGCTTGAAGGAAATTTCTTTCACTTTATTTGTGAGAAAGAATTTCTGCTGTAAAGACCAGATTTTTTTCCAATTAAGGTTAACAAACAAATTATTCCAAAAGGAAATAACAGGTGGGACAGAAATCAAATCCTTGACAAATAAAGATCTTATTTTATAGTTTTTTGCTTTCGACTCGGAGAAACAGATTTGACCAATAGGAGTATCACAGGGTTTAGGAAAGGGTGCAGTAGATGCTCCGGAGGAGTGATTACAGTTTTTAAAAAGCATACATAAACCAGAAGGAATAGCGCCCATTACTGTGGCAAATTCTTTTGGGGTTATTGGTATTTGATATTCGGAGAGAAATTCTGCATATCTGAACAAAAGACCTTGCTTATCAAACAACTGCTCTACTAAAAATAAACCATTATTGAACCAACTGTCAAAAAACAGGGATTTATTCTTGAACAAGATGTTCTTATTGTTCCAAATATAACATCTTTGTGGCGAAAAGTTATGTTTATAAATTAGAGCCCAAGCTAAAAGAGCCTGACGATGAAAATTGGATAGTTTGATAGGGAGTTTGGAGATATCATAATTACACATTAACAGAAAATTAATGCCACCAAGTTGTGAGAAAACAAGTTGAGGAAAAACATTCCAAATAGAAGAAGGATTGGTTAGGTACTGATTCAGCCAATTAATTTTAAAGGTATTGTTGAGGGAGTCAAAGTCAATAAAATTCAGACCACCGTTATTATAAGAGTTTAGAATGACTGATTTTCTCACATAATGGGGCTTATTTTTCCATAAGAATTTTATCAAAACCTCATTAATTAATTTAGAAGTGGGCTTATCCACAAAGAGAGACTGAGCTGCATAGGCCAAACGGGACAGACCCTCTGCCTTAGTGAGCAGTGTTCTGCCCTTTAAGGACAGATCCCTTTGTAGCCAGCAATTGCATCTTTTTTGAGTCTTAGAAATAATAGGTTTGAAGTTTGCTGAACATCTACATTCATCTTTAGTAATTTGTATACCTAGATATGTTACCCTATTTTTAACAGAAATATTCTCAATGGAGGTAAGAGAGCAGTTTTTAATGGGAAGCAATTCACATTTATTAAAATTTAAATTTAATCCAGAAGCTTTAGAGAAGGACTGAAGAATAATCAGAGCCATTGGAACCTGTGAAGAATCATTCAAGAATAAAGCTGTATCATCTGCTAACTGACTCATTTTTATTGTAGTGTTACCAATTGTGATACCCTTTAAAGAACTACTATTGACATGTACACTAAGGAATTGTGTTGCAATTAGGAAAAGGTAAGGGGAAACTGGACATCCTTGCCTAACCCCTCGTTTAAAAAAAAATCTAGGTGAAGTACCATAACTTAACTTAATTGAGCTGTTTCCGTTAACGTAAAGCATTCGGATCATTCTGCAAAAGGAGTCACCAAAGCCAATTTCTTGAAGAGCCTGAAATAAAAATGCGTGTTCTAATGTGTCAAAGGCTTTATAATAATTTAAAAAGAAAACGAAGCCATCATTGTCAATTAATTCTGAGTAGTCTATCATATCTAGTACTAGCCGTATATTATTAGAAATGTGCCTTTTTTGCATAAATCCTGATTGCGTTTCGTCAATTATAGAGTTCAAAACACATTTGAGTCTTTTTGCTAGGACTGCAGCAATTATTTTATAATCATTATTTAATAGTGTAATTGGACGCCAGTTGTCTATTAGGAGGGGATCTTTGTTTGATTTTGGTATAAGCGTTATTAATCCTTGACATAATGTGGCTGGAAGTGATACATTTTTTATACTTTCCTCATACATCTTCAATAAAAAAGGTGCTATACTATGATTAAATAGCTTGTAAAATTCTGAGCTGAGTCCGTCTGTTCCGGGAGATTTGTTGGCTTTTAAACAGTTAATAGCTTCCTCTATTTCCTTCAATGTGAGAGGGGCGTCACAAAAGTGTTTATCTAACTCACTTAACTGGTTTATATTAGGTAATGATTTAAAGAAATCATCCATATTTTGTTGGGAAAATTTTGAAGTATACAAATCACTGTAAAATTTGGCACAGAAATTTGCGATATTTTTAGGGTCATCACTAATATTACCATTGATCATTAGTTTTTGAATTTGGTTGTTTTTAGCTTGCTGTCTTTCCAATCTGAAAAAATATGCAAAGTTTTGCTCACCCTCTTCAATCCATTTTCTGCGCGATCTGATAAATGCCCCTTCAGCTTTATGTTTGTTGTCTAATTTGCACTGTAATTCATCCAATTCTGCTTTTTCACAGTCAAGTAAATCCTCCACATTTTAGAGAGGAGATTGGTGATTTTGCATATAACTGAGTCTTCATCCTTTTTTTTCTTTTTTGCCAAATTAGTACAAAATTTCCTAAGATATATGCCAATTTCATATTTAGCAAATTCCCAGTTGTTGCTGTAACTGTTTTCCTCTCTTGCTTTATTCCAATTTTTGTGAATTATCTTATTAATTTCATTTTCTACTTCACTATAAGATAAAATGGAGTTGTTAAGTTTCCAGTAAGAAGAGAATCTGGGCACATTATCAGATGCAAGAAAATGGGTACGAATGAAGATACTTTTGTGGTCAGAAAATGGCGATGGCAAAATGTCAGAAGAGGTATTGCATAATTCTTTAGAGATAAGCCACATGTCAATTCGGGACTGGGAAGACTGAGAGTTATTACTCCATGTGAACATCTTTTAAAAAGGATGTAACACTCTCCAACTATCGATCAAGGAAAATCTTTGCATAAACGTTTTCAAGTATAAACTAGTATTGTCAGGGAGTTTTGGAGGCCATCTGTCTAAGCTGCCATCTATGGCAACATTAAAATCTCCGCCAAAAATAAGCATGGAATTTGGATATTTAGTTAATAATGTTAACACAAGTTCCTCTAAACGACTAATAAAGTTTTCATTTTCTTTCTGCTGGTTATAGCCATGAACACAAACTAGAATACATGTCAAGTTTGAAATTTCAGTGACGAGACTATAGATATAACGCCCATCTATATCACTCACATTAAGTAACACCTTCCCTTTAAACTGATTTTTTAAGATGCACACACCGGCTGAATGTGTCGTACCATGAGCCATCCATATGTCTAGACCCCATTGAGACCTCCAGAAATTACAATCCTCTATAGTTGAGTGACATTCTTGGAGGAAACAAAAATCTGATTTGAATTGTTTGAGATATAAGAAAACAGGGGCTGTCATGTAGTTTTGTATATGTTCGCGGGCTATGTGACGTCAGAACTCGTAACTGGGAGTACATCGGTCTAGTACGAGTTCACGGGTGGGAAGTCACGGGTTTGACTGCCGCGATATATATGAACGCGGCATAAAAGCGTGGTGGTAATGTAAAAGTGCAGGCGCCGCCATTTTCTCTGTGTATTGTTTAATTATATCGTAGAAAAAAAAGGCTAAAAAAGGTGACTGCTTTTTTCTTTGCATGATTGTGTTTATGGGGTGCAATATAACATGTATTCGTGGTTTTTCTTTTTTAAAAAGTCTTATCTTTCATTAGGGACTTTAAACGTACAGTATGCGATTTTTGGCCACCAGGGGTCACTCGTTTAAAATAATAACAAAAGACGTACTTTGATGACGTCGGGAAAGAGCGTGGGCTCACGGGAGTTGTTGTCGCTGTCAATGACAACCAGCTCAGCTCATGACATGACATCATCGTTTCACAAAATATTCGGATATACGGCATCTCTCTGTAGATTTAGCTT